TTGGATTTAAATTATTATTATTAAGTGGGTGGCAGGGAATATATATATATATATTTGTACTTTTCCACATAACAGGTATTCATATTTGAGTGTGTATATAAATAAAATGGATTCTCCCGTTGATTTCAATGTATGATGATTCAATAACCTCATTCAGTTATGTTCATTTGCACTAGTGACACAGCATGCAACAGCAAGGATTTCAGGGCATAGCCACAGGAATATTTGCTGATACTTTTCAATCATCTTTCATCTCTTTCAATGTGACTGATTTTGGAATTTCTATCACTCTGGCACAAATATCTCCATTTAATTTTATCCAGGGCAACTCACTTGAAGTTAGTATGAAGCACATCAACAGCTGAGAGGTTAATCTTTAGCTTGTCTATACCTGAGCCATGACTATCCAAACAGTCCTTTGTTCACTGTCAAGCTTGGTATACATGAGGACTTTAGGTGTTCTGTCATCACTCATCCTTGCAACATTTCCAGTCCAGCAAAGTTGTGACTGCTTCTGAAAAACCTCAATTTCACCAATGTTGCATTTTGCAAAAAGATCAGTATTGGACACTTGTCAAAAGTACAGCCACAGATTGCGTGGAAGACATTCAGATGATGGATATAGGGTCCATGATTCTGAGCCGTACAACAGTGTGGTCAAATAAACACGTATTTTGGTTACCAATTGGATATCTCTCTCATTCCACAGGTGGTGGCAAAGCTTCCCAAATGCACTTGTAGCTGTGGAAATTCAATGTTTTGTCATCAAGGGAGGCATATGCATTCATCTTACTTCTTAAATATGTAAATGACTTAACATTTATTATATATATATATACTAGCAGTAGAGCCCGGCGTTGCAACAGTAAGAGATAGATCAAGTATCAACCATCATAAAGACTGAAAAATAAAATTGACAAAGATTATTGTTTAAGGTTGACGGACACGCATGTCTCAGTTTTTTTTTTTTTTTTACGAATTGGTCAACCCCAAACTCAAACAAAAACATTGTTTTCAATCGTTATGAGTCTACTGATTGAATAGAATTTTATTATAAACATTTGCCTTGTAAATGGAATTTTTAAAGCATTCTGAATGTAAAAATAAAGAAAAAGTGTGCAAGACAATAAGAAACACTACCTGCCAAAAAAAATGAAGTTTTGTTGAAATCGGTTGAAAAATGTAGGAAATCCGATCCTATATATAAATGAACACAGGCACACACACAATCTGGATTTTATAAGTATAACTTGATATGAGTTGTCCCCCTTTCATTCTTGCGATGCCTCTTAATCGTGTTTTCAAATTGATTTTGTGCAAAAACAATTGTGTTTTTCCAATTTTTGGCGCTGTCAGAACCACTGCAAGATAATTTTACGTAGTCCTGTAAAGTTTTGTTGAAATCGGTTGAAAAATGTAGGAAATCCGATCCAATATATAAACGTACAGACACACACACACAACCTGGGTTTTATAATAAGTATGATATAAAAACTGAAGTTTACAATCACATTAGTTGAACTCTGTGAATATTCCAAATGTGACAACACTGCTACTAATAATGATAATTATAATAATGTTGGTGTTTCATTCCTCAAGTTTAGCAAAATATCATTATAAAGTTCCAACAAAGCAAAGTTCATTCCTCCTGATATAATGTTGTATCAAAACAACTTTAAATTTTCTTGAAGCCTTAAAAAAAAAAAAAAAAAAAATATAATATATATATATATATATATATATAGCTTTTCCCAAAGTGAAAGATGTAAATATGTTTGACGTAAAAATGTGAGTTTTGTTTTTCTAAATTAAGACAGATCCCCAATGCAGCAAAAGAAAAATAAAGACTAAATGTAGAGAATTTTATTTTATTTTTTTTCAATAAAGAAAACAAATTCCTTGCACAATTGTCACCATTGTTAAAAAATCATTCATGGTTACCATGACAACTGAGAGAATTGAGTGCAGGGTCAGGGAGAACTCCTTAATTCAGAGATCAGGAGTAATTATTAGATTGGGTTTTTATTTTATTTCCTTAAGCCCAGACTAGTCTTTATTTGAGAAAGAATTCCCAAGGAAAATAACCGAACATCATTGCAAGAAGAGTAAAAAGGTTATTACAAAAAAAAAAAAAAAAAAAAAATGTCGGGTTTAATAAAATTGAAAGCAAACAAAATATTGGAGGTAGAATTCCTGATGGTTTTTCTTTTAAAACTGCTGTTTCAAGTTTTTTTTTTTGTTTAAAAATAAAATCAGGTGAATGTTAACCAATTTCATATTATCAAAAGGATTTATTTTAATTAAAATAAATATTTGACCGCATTAACACCTTCAGCACCAATGATATTTTGTTATTGACGTGTATAGGCCAAGTATAGAACAAGGATTCTCCAGAGACTAAATAACATTGCTGCAAAGCAGTGCATGGAGGACAAAATGAAGACAAGGCGCAAAGTCCAAGAGGGGGACATTAATTTTGGTGCTTAACATGTAAAATTTGGAAAACATTAACATCCTTTGGCGTTGAATGTGCAAATATGTCTTGTGATGGTTGGAAAATATTGAATTCAGGCCAGGGGAAAGAAAGAAAAAAAAAAACATTAAAGTGCCAAACATCTCTGAAGCCCCAAATACGAGTCTTTCAAAACCAACATTGAATCGTTAATGAAATTAGAAGGAAGAAAGTAAATTAGGTCACATGACCAAATTGTCAAAAATCATTCAGTTCAGAATATGTATAAAATTTTTGGGAAAGGAAATTCCAATTTTATACAACATCAAATTTTTTAATGCAACCAAATTTTTAAAATCAAATATCATTTCCTTAATGTGTATAGAAAAAAAAAGGTTTTGAATAATTTGAAAATAACATTGACAAAGCAAATTTTGAAATTTATAAGGAAAAAAAAAAAAATTTTTGTTGCAAATGGAATTGTGCTCATTTGAATGAAATGCACTTTTGAAAAAGCTCAATCACAGAAGATTTAATACAATTACAAAAAGACTAAAAAAAAAAAAAAAAAAAAAAAAAAAAAAAAAAATCAAACCTGCCAATTTCATTTTCCAGGATTTGATTCCAGAAAAATCTGCTTCATTGCACCATGATTTATTCCTCCAACATCTCAGGGGAAAAAGAAGAAAAAGAAAAAGAAAAAAAAAAAAAAGGAAGAAAAAAAAAAGAAGAAAAAGAATAATAATACAGAATGGACCAGTAAAACAATTTGAAATTAATTTTCTAACATTTGTACAAACAATCCTCACCTAAAGGACATCAATTATTTTTCGTCTATTTGTTTATACTTTTTGTGGGATCTAAAACTAAAATTGAAATAAAAATAAAAATCTGTTAAAAATCCTATGGGAAAAAATAGAAATTTTTGTAAAATGACTGTTTTGATTAAAAGATTAAGAAACAAATTGTTGACTCAACAAAAGGTGAGTAGAAAAAAAAAAGGTTTGAATTAATTTCAATATGAATTTCATTACTTAACTCTTTTCAATAGAATCTGAGAATAACAGGTTTTCTAAATAGAAAATATTAATTTGTATAAAACATTAGCTTCCAGGTGAATTTAGTACAACCTCCAGCATCAATATAATTTAGTAGAATAAAGACTTTTGTAAGATTAATTTGATTGGAAAATAGAAAAGAATTTTTAGCAATCCGTTTCTCTCAAGTTTATATTGCACATCTGACTTTCCAATTTCTTCAATAATTGATGAAACTGACGATTTTTAAAAGAGAAAAAAAATCTTGTTGATTGCATATTTTCTTTTCTAAAATGGAAATAAAGAATAAAAAGAAATTACATTTTTCTTGAACAAAAGTCTATATTAATTTAAATAAAATGAAAACGTTCAAATAACTTATTAATAAACTAAAGAAAATCTTGAATTGCTGATAAACTTTGACCTGAATAAGAAAGGTTTTTTTATTTTTTTGTAACATTTGCTAAATAAGAAATCATTCCATTTATAAAATCCATTGAATCAACCATGTCAATAATTTGTCAAGAAATATTATCCTGGTTCAAGATTTAAAATTTTCTTATGGCTTTCATATATCAAAAATGCTTTTCACATATGTAAATGTATTATCTTTTCTATCAATGATTTCAATTAAATGCCAAATCCTTTCCTATTTTTTGTTTTTTTCTTGGATTAGGACTCATTTTAAGGGACATCATTTTGCGGTGAATATCTATCAAAAGATAAGCCATGTTTACTTTTTTCATCTAACCCACAGATTTTTGTGAATATATTTGCTGTTATCTTAAACAATGATGTCTTTTTAGTTTTAATACTTTTAAAAATATTTTTGCAAAACGTCAAAATCTTAAAATACTTTCAGCTGAATTTTGTTTTGAAATGTGGTTGAAATTTAATGATCTTTGTAATGTGCTGACAAATCAATTATAGTACAAAATATTTGACATCAAACTTATTGGCTTTTATTGTGAATCTGAAATTTATTTTTCCCTAAAAGAACACTTTGAATAAAAAAAAAAAAAAGGATGAATGACTGATAGGGATAGTTAAAAATATTTAATTTGCACAAAGAAAAAGAAATTTAAGAAAAAAAATAATACTAAAAAAGAAAAAAAAAATTGTTTTCTTTTTGGAAATATCAACTTTATATATTTATAAATATTTTAGAATTACAATTTCATATGAACAAGACATTTTGTCCACTGAATTAGTGACAATTTTCCCAATTATATTTTGTTATATTATTTTTAATTCTATATAAAGAAAAACGGTTTTACAATTATAAAATTTATAACATTGACTTGGGATTAGACAAATAAAATTTCAAGACATTTGCATCAAGTTTCCTTCTATTTTTTGAGAAGCTTAGTAAATGGGGCTGAGATTTTACAAAAATGGAGAGGGGTCAGAAAAAGATATCACACAATTGGGTACTGTTTAAAACACAAAGAGAAAGAACAAAAAAATTGAACAATTAAAGAAAATTAAAATATTTTCTCTGTTAGTCCAGTTCATGAGGTTCGGGCACGATGGGGGACAGGAATAAAAGAAGGCTCAGAAATGGCCAGGGCACTCTTTGGGGTATAAATTCCAACCTTTGCTGGAAACCTCCTCCCAGCAATATCAATTTCATATTTGGCATTTTTATCCAGAATAAATTCGTTAATGTTCTTCATGATGACTGGTGTGCCATTTTCGTCAAATTTTGAAACAAAGCCAAGGCAAAGCATTTGTTCGAGCGTGTAGCCGTAACCACTGGATGTGGTCTCTCCGACATATTCACCATTGCGGTAGATCGGTTCTCCACCCCAGGGCCAAAGGTCTGTGTCTATGCTGTGGTCCTCGAGAAGAAAATGGACCAATTTCTGTTTGACACCACCTTCTCGTTGCTGTAGCAAAGCATCCTTGCCAATAAAGTCACCTTTCTGAGAAAAGATAAAGAGAAAAAAAAACATATATATATATTTAAATCTGTAAGATCAAAAACTGTTCCTCACTTTTTTGTCTTTTACAATAAACAATTTCATTGGTTTTAGAACAAAGTCTCACAAAGTTAGAAGCAAAGGGACCCCCACCCCACAAAAAAAAAGTTTTTCAGAAAATTCTATTACTTTTCGTGCACCCATTATGAATTTGGAAATATTTAACTTGAAACAATGGACAAACACTAAATATTTGTCATAGGCAAATAAAACAATTTATTCCAGGAGTCTTTTGTGAATAAAACATATTTATAGTTCTTAATCTGCTTATTTTTGTTCTGGTAAAAAATAAATTCCAATTTTTTAGTTCCTAAATTGGCAACATTAAATCAATCAAGAAGGAATAGTGACTTTTGTTTTAGAATAAATTTCATATTGAAGATTGGTGGGGGGTATTTTTTGATCAGCCATGAAAAGGAGTCAAAACTTGTCTAAAACATTTTACACAATTTCTTTTCTATCAAATTCTTTTTGTATTGCCATTTTTAAAAATTAATTTTGAATCTTTAGCTTTTCATGGTCTTCAAGCAGCAAAGAGTTGGGAAAGAAAGCCAAAATGCTGAGTCTTCAGTTAGAAATCAAGAAGCCTGACAAAAAGGTGTTTGCCCAATTGATAAAAATTGAAGAAAAAAAAAAAGGAAAAGGAGATGCTTCAGTTCTTCCTGAATTTCTGGAATGAGGCATTATCATTATTTCCTCATCTTTGTTGGCAATTCTTTTCCAAACTTCTTAAAAACAACTTCCACATTTAATAGCTTATCTGCAATATTCATGCCATATATATATATATATATATATATATATATTTTGAATCAAAGTTAGAAGCAATTAAGTGGTCACTGGAGTCAGTAAAACTATACTGACTCCAACTCCAGTTAAATTTACACTTTATGTAAAAAGTCTTACATTATAGAATTTTTATTGTTATTTCTTTTACTGTATATTTACTATTTCCATTAAAGAAATTCATCTAAATTTCTTTTTTAAAGTCATTTTTTGTAGTCATTTGCAAAACAATATATGTAAAAAAAAAAAAAAATCTTACATAATAGAATTTTTATTTTTCTTACATCTTTTACATCCTGTAAAAGATTATATTTTATCTTCTGATATAAAGTAGTTTTATTTTTGTTCTGTACTTATTTCTGATTTACAAAGATATATATGTAAAAGTCTTACATTATAGCATTTTCATTTTTTCTATATCCTTTCAAACATTTTGTCTCTAATCGTGTTAAAAAATATTGAAGAATAAATAGGTATGATATAAAAGCCACAATATCTTTATTCTTTGATATAAATAAATTATAATCATATAGGCCTACTCAGATTAGGAGCGTATGGATAGGCTTTATGAGATTTGTAGGCCATAATTCCTTAATTATATATAGAGGAGTTAGAGGTACCAAAAATAGAGGAGTCAGAGGTTTTGTGTTCAGACTCTACAGCCCTATATATATTATACTAGCAGTAGAGCCCGGGGGTATAACAGTAAGAGATAGATCAAGTATCCACAATCAAAGACTGAAAAATAAAATTGACAAAGATTATTGTTTAAGGTTGACGGACACGCATGTCTTAATTAGTTTTTTTTTTTTTTTTTTTACAAATTGGTCAAACCCAAACAGAAACATTGTTTTCAATCATTATGAGTCTCTACCGATTGAATAGAATTTTATTATAAACAATTGTCTTGTAAATGGAATTTTTAAAGCATTCTGAATGTAAAAATAAAGAAAAAAGTGCGCAAGACAATAAGAAACACTGCATGCCAAAAAAAAAAAAAAAAAGTGAAGTTTTGTTGAAATCGGTTGAAAAATGTAGGTAGCCTTTCTGTAATCTTTTAGTTTTACAATTTATGATTTTTACTTATTGAATACAGTAAAAAAAATTGCATATTTTGCTTGTGGTGATTCATAATTAGAATTCTGATTTGAATATATTTTCCACTCGTTGTTTCTAATACAAAAATATTAACTTTATTTGGGTTTATTAATTATGATCTAACAAATCTTATTCATTTAGTAGCCTTTCTGTAATAATAATCTTTTACAATATATGATTTTTACTTATTGAATACAGTAAAAAAATTGGACACCATGTGTATTTAAAGTAGTTTCTGGTTATTATTTTTAGTTAGGACTTGTGTATGTTTAGATTTCATTATGTTTCCCTAAAGATAAAGAATTTATTCCGATGTTTGTATTCGTACAATCAGTAGAGATCGTTAGATTATTGTTTAAGGTTGACGGACACGCATGTCTTAATTATTTTTATTTTTTTTATTTTTTACGAATTGGTCAAACCCAAACTCAAACATTGTTTTCAATTGTTATGAGTCTCCCGATTGAATAGAATTTTATTATAAATAATTGTCTTGTAAATGGAATTTTTAAAGCATTCTGAATACTAAAGATAAAGAAAAAAGTGTGCAAGAGAATAAGAAACACTACCTGACAAAAAAAAAAAAAAAAAAAAAGTGAAGTTTTGTTTTATCGGCTGAAAAATATAGGAAATCCACTCCCATATTTAAAGGCACCCACGCACACAAACAACCCGATGTGAGTTGTCCCCCTTTCATTTTCACAATGTCTCTTAATTGTGTTTTCAAATTGATTTTGTGCAAAAATAATTATATTTTCCCATTTTTGGCGCTGTTAAAACCACCACAAGGTAATTTTATGTAGTCCTGTGAAGTTTTGTTGAAATCGGTTGAAAAATGTAGGAAATCCGATCCAATATATAAACGTTACAGACACACACACAATCTGCGTTTTTAAGGTGTGCTATATCTATAGGATAAAGTACTCAATAACAGAGACAGAGCGTATGTAAATATAAAAGTGAACATTGAAGTCCACTCAGAGGCGACAGGCTGTTTCATGCTTGAACATAATTTTCAGGCCATCTGATGACCTGAAGATTGCTTTTTTATTTAAAACAAGGATCATAACATTCATCAAGTGGTTCGTAGGTTAATGCAACTTTAAAATTTTGTTTGCAAAGAGTTTTCGCCATTTTATATCATTAACTTTACTAATCTACTTTTGTATGAATGATTCATTGTTATATATATATATATATATATATATATATATATATATATATATAATAATAATAATCAAAATTTTTTGATCGATCCTGCCACATTGTCATTGTTCAATCTTGAATTTTAGATTTTTTTAATTGTTTTTTTTGGCGGGGAGGGACTGTGACATGTTGTTTTGAACTTATAAGAGACAAAAGGTTGCAGGAGCAAAACAAAAATTGTGATTTTCAAAAAATTTTGTGCTTCTGCATTTCAAGTAAATAAAAAAAAAAGAAAAAAAATATTTTTGACATAGAACATATCTTGAAAAAGTTAAATGTAACCACCTCTTCTACTCCAACAGCTTCTTGTCTCTCACTTCCCAACAGTGGAACTCCCTTCCTCTTACTTGCTTCCCTGATAAATATAATATTCAAATATTGAAATGTAATGTCAATCAACATTTTCTTATGCCTTGATGTCGATCTCCGTCTTTTTCTTTATCCTTTCCTCAAACACCCCTTTTTATTCTTACTTTCACTCTCTATAACCCCTTGCATGCTAGTGGCATTCCCAAATTGCTTGGGGTGATAGAAAGCAAAAAAAGAAAGAAATGAATAAAATAGTAATGAAGCACAGATAAGCCTCAACCAACCACTTCCACTGCTATGGATGGGGAAAAAGAGAAATACCTTTAGGAGGAAAGTGCAGATAAATTGCCATAAAAGATACTGGGGATATTATTCTATGCCTGCGCATTACTATCACTTGTATTGGGAAGCTTTTTTCAGCTGGGGAATTAGGAAGAAGGAAAATGTATGAGGCTGCCCAAACGGATGAACTTTCTTTGTTTTGTTTTACGGCATATCAACCTCAATGGGTCATTTAATGCTGATAACTTTTTTTTTTTTTCTGGTATTATTTTTGTTTTATCAAAAATCTATTTCTGTTAATATTTTTTTCCTCAGAAATGTAAAGCTGGTAATATTATTTTTTCAAAAACGTATAGCTGGTAATATTCATTTTTTTTTTTTTCAAAAATTTATTTCTGGTAATAATTTTTTACAAAGTATTTCTGGTATTAAAACCTATTTTTACACTTTCATAATGCTTTTTACCTCAGTTTCTGGGTTAACTATTTGCCCATAGCTGGGAGCCTAACAGGTGCTATCACCCCAGATCAGGGCGGACCTGGGAACATCAGTAATTAAGAGGTGGTTCCAAGCTCATCAAAGCCTCTTGATCAGAGGCCTTGCTGTTGGACGTAGTTTATCGTCTTACCCAGGACGCGGATGAAACCTTGTTTTGATGAAGGGGAATTAGCTTGAACAGAGTCCGTGTCCGAGATGACAACCGGGGTTGTATCAAAATAAGACTAGCTAGTACTAGAATAATAAGGGTTCACAAGGAAGAGAAAGTGTGGGAGGCTATACCAGCTATTACCAAGGTGGAGGTATAATGTCCAGAGGTCAGTGAAGGTTCTATAAGAATTCTATAATTAGGGAGGGAGAGAACTTCACATCTAAATAAAGGGAGTATCCTGTCTTCTATTGGGGACAATAGAGACATGGTAGTTGACTCTGATGCTGACTTAGGCCAGATAAAGACAGAGATGAGGACAGACATGGATAATCACCTGCCTATAGTGCTAAGCTCATACCAGGCTCCCCCACCCCTGCATAAGAGCAAGCTCGCACAAGAGGCAGTTGGGGATGTGCTGGAGGCAGGAATAAGAGAACACTCCATTATCATAAGATAATTAAAGCTCTAGCCTACCCTACAGCCTTGATCAATGACATGTCGGCATTACCGGGGAAGTCAGCTAATTTTTCCACTCTTGATTTGAGTTCTGGCTACTGGCAAGTCGCCCTCTACAAAGCTTATAGAGAGACGGCTGAATTTGCCTGTCTGTAGCATTGTACCAGTTCAGTATTATGTTCTTTAGACTGGCCGATGCATCTGGAATTTTTTAGCAGGACATGTTTATAGTGCTGGTGGTATTCGGTATGAGGGTCTTGTTGCTATTTGTCCTCAACCAGTGTGTTGAAATCTGTCATAGCGATAATTATCAGATCAAATTGGATAATTAGTAAGGGTTACCTAGAAAGGTTGAAGCAAATTAGTAATGTACCAGACTGGGAATTGGACTTATTGGGGGTATGCAGAAGGAAATCAACAGTAACAAGCTACCCAGCCCCTGACCATTATTAAGTTTGGTTTCTCTGCCTTTGGAAAAACTTTAGCCCTCTCACCATGCAATCAGGTGGAGGAAAAATCTGAAGCCCAAGACTCCTTTCTAATCTGGGTAAATGATTCAACCAGTAAGTATACAGGACTGTGAGAGTCCATGATAAAGAAAACAAATATAACTGCGAAAAAATACTGCAATTGTTAAAACCATAAGATTTATATGAATTAATGGATAAGTTAGCAATGGTGAGCAGAAATCATCCCACTGAGGAGGACGCAGCAGCAAATGTTACAGTTTGGTTGTCAATTATCATAGTGCTAGCGATTATTTTAGTGAGTTATAGAGGGACGTTGGCTGAAAAAGCATATGGTACAAAATGAGCCGGTGAAGGAATGTGAAGGCAAGAAGAGTAGATTAATGGACTTTGCTGTGCCACAGGAATCAGATGGATTGGAGAGAGGCCCAAATGTAAATCAACCGGAACAGTTACAATTTCCTACTATATGTGTAGAATCCAAAGGATACAAAAAAAAAAAAAAAAATAAAGGACATTACGCTACTTCCTATTTATTCACTTCCTTTATAATCACAGGCAAAAATATAATTAGACTGTCTTATCAGTCCCAGTATAGACTCTATACCAGGGTTGATAAGACAGACTAATTATATTTTCATCTGTCAAAATAAGCTTATTCTCCATATGAGGTGATTTTGGATTTTATTGTGTGTGTGTATATATATATATATATATATATATACACACCCCCCGCAAAACTCCAAATTCAAGTGAAAATTTTGGATAATTTCATTGTCTAGAATAAATTCACGACTTCCTGTGAATTTTCTGTTTGACATTTTAACAAAACTTTACAATTAAACAGAATTAAGTAGTGTGTGTGGAATATTAATCACTGAAAATTCTCATTGCTTGTAAATTTTAAAGCCACTGGCAGTATTGCGGTAAAGTAGTTTTCAGCATCCCATTGTAGATCTGACATTAACGAATGTGTAAATATGGATGTAGAAAGAGGAAATGTGTATGTGTATTGATATAATTACACCTTTGGAATTTTTGTTTTGTTTTTTTGCAGAATAAAAACACTTGCAATTGATAAAACAATCTCTTCCAAATTGTCCACTGGAAATAAAATGAAAACACTTACACTGAACTTGACTCGGAATTCTCGTCCACATTCAAATGGCGATGTGGTCGTTGTCAAATCCACTCCCCAACTGGCAAAAAACTTCTCAACTCTCAATTCCTTCATGCAGTTAAAACCAACATTTCGGATCCCGTAATCGACTCCAGCGCGCATCAGTGTGTCATAAACATGAAGGGCATACTGGAAAAATATAGAAATAGATTTGAGAAAAAGGAGCAATAAATGGGGAAGGGGGATCTGTGAGTGGAGGGAGGAAACGAGGATGATTTGTCGTCTTCTTTTTTTCTTTTTTATTATAAGCAAGTTATTTAATGCCAAAATCTAAATATTTTTTTTTTTTTTTTTTTTTTAATTTCATTTTTTTTGGAGGTAATAATGGTTTAGTGATACAAGTCTTACTATTTAACCCATAGCTGGGGAGGGGAGACGAGTTGGATTCATACCTTTCCCAAGGGTATTTGCGCATAAGTGATTATATTGAACCTGACTGAAATTGGAACTTGGCTCTTTGATTAACAATTCTGAGCCATTATCCATTACACCACCTGCACATCCAAGCTTACAGCACCTGGTATTCCCAAGCAGTCACCAATCTAGGAATTGACCAGGCTCAACATTGCTTAACTTCAGTGATCATAAGGGAGGGGAGGAGGAGGAAACAAGGAGGGAAAAAATGAAATGGGGGAAGTGGAGAAAGAGGAGGAGAACTGTGTGTCAGCATGTGTAGGCCAAGACAAAAATGACAAGTTTGCATCTTACAAAGAATAAAAGAATTTGTTTCTAAATTCAGAAGTTATCCCATTGATCTTGGTAAAATCAAAATGATTTGCTTTTCATTTCATATCCTTTATTGCGAGTTGCATTTAGACAAAATTTGTTGACAGCAAACATTTTGTCTTACCTCTGCTGGAATGTACAAGATGAAGCCATCTTCTCCAACATGTGTAAGTCTCATAGCTCGGATGCCACTAGCATATCCCACGTCTACAACCTGTTAAATAACAAAATAATAATTAGAGACTAAAATATCAACAAAGAAATTATTAGTGGAGAAAAAAAATATTTGTGAATATATCTGTTACTCATTCTCAAGTTGTAGCATACCTACAGACGATAATGGGTATGTCCCCATTCATATAAATAAAGTAGTAAATACTGTATGTTGGTCTGCAGTTGGAGATTCATCTCCAGTTGTGCTGGTCAAGCTCTCTGCCTCTGGGCAGAGAGGATCCCCAGATGAGGCTATGTTGAAGGGCAGAGTCTCTTCTCGGGAAACAGCTGCCTGACTATATTTTATACAGGGGGTCTATGGGGAATTTTTGGCTGAGCCTACAGGCTCAGATAACCCACATTAAATTTGGCCTTGTGCCACATCTGACTGCATGGGGTGGTTGGTAGATATCTTGCAGTTGGAGATTCATTGTGGAATTCAATTCTAGCAGTTGACTACTTCTATGTGCCATTGGCGAATCTTATATGTATTGTTCATGTCCTAAGTATTATCATTCATTACCAACCTTCATTTATTCTATTCAGTAACTTTCGCTAGGTTACAACACAAGTTAAGTATGAAAACTTGATTTTAGCAAAACTAAAAAGAAAGTTTCAAAAATAATCAACCTGCTCACATAACAAACTTAATAATCTAGATTCAAATTTCAAAGAAGAAAAAAAAATGGAAGAGAATTTCAATCTTTTCAATTGTTAGGTTGAAAGGAAATCAATATCTTTTTTTTTGAGAAAGCAAATTTGGTTCACTTGTCAAGAATTGAATGCTGGTATTTCACCTGGATTAAATTTTTTTGAAATTCAGTAAACTAAACAAGAAAAAAAAAAAATTTGAAAGTTCAATTAATGTCAGGCTTCAGGACATGAATTATTAAAGTTTTTCCTTTTTCCTAATTTTCATTATATTTTATGAGTTTAGCTTAATTTCGACTCACAATGATGTCTTCTACTGGACAAACAAGAAATGCAGGATTTCTTTTATTTCTGATCTTCACCCAGAATTTGATGAAAATCTAACAATTGGGACAAATTCGATCTTCTTGCAATTCTAGTCTTTCTGTTTATTAAAAAAAAAAATAATAGTACTACATAATATGCCAAATTTGTCATTTTGTTTGTAATGTCTACAACTTATCCTCCTTGTACTTGCGCTGCCAGGTGGCAGTGTCAATGATATGACAATGGTAGAGAGTTCCAAGATGTTTACAAAGCTGGGAGGTGAAAAGACAAACTCCGTGAAAGAAAAATGCAACAATTATCATTTGAAAAAATATATTTAAAAAGCTTATGGTATGTGTAAACACTACTAAACACATAGCTAAGGAAGACCAACAAATACATTGGTTTAAATATGATAAAAACAATAAAGATAAGGACACTCATCTGAATAGAACTAGCAAAGCTTTTTTGTTTCATTTATTAAAAAGTAATTGGTGAGAAGTTCATTAGAAAGCTAAAAATAATTTCTTTGACAGTTAAAATGTGATGTTGCTTCTTACCTTACAAGTCATGAATTTGAAATCACTTTTTGTTGTGGAAGCTTCTGTGACCTCTGCCAAAAGCTCTTGGGCATGAGGCCCGATCAGTGTGATAGCTGAATACATAGAGGTGACATCTCGAATTTGGACAGAACCATCTTTTGGTAAATGCCTCAGCATCCAAGCCAAACTTTTTGTTTGCTGAGTTGTTGGGGAGATCAAGAAATAACTGAAATTAAAAAAAAAAAAAAAAAAATATCAACTTTAGAAATAATTATAACTAGTTTTATAGGTTATGTTTTAGGTGATTGTGTTTATGGGGATATATATATATATATATATATATATATATATATATATATATACACACACAAATGTAATGAGAATGAAAATAATATATAAATTCTAATGTTTACAGCATTAATTCAAAAGAGGGCTCAATGCCGATAGTAGAGCGATAAATATTTATTATAATTTTTTCATATAAAGAAAAACAATTTACTCACTACAAAGATGCAACTTCGTTTCAGTGCATTTAATTGCACTTCAACTGGTGAGAACCAAAACGTTTATGAACATTTTTGTTTGTAAGCAAGCTGCATGTTATTAATCATGCGGCTTGCTTACAAACAAAATTGTTCATAAACATTTTGGTTCTCAACAAAGGGAAATTAAATGCACCAAAATGAAATTGCATCTTTGTAGTGAGTAAACTGTTTTTGTCTATATGAAAATTATATATATATATATATTTCAAAATCATAACATATGCATGTTATAACATAACTACAAAAATAGCCATTTTGTTTCAACACTTCTGGTGTATTGTTACTTGACAAGACATAAGAAGTGTTGAAACAAAATGGCTATATTTGTAATGCTATTATAACATGTATATGTTATGATTTTGAATAAATATTATTTGCTCTGTTGTGTATTGAACACTCTTTTAAGAATAGTGTTTTTGGTTATTGGAATTTTATTCCATCTGTACCAATGCTGTACTTGGTTTTATATATATATATATATATATATATATATATATATATATTATCCCTCACTGGAAGCCAGACTAAGAATTTCATGCATAACACAATCTTCACGTGCTGAGTAGAGACTGACCATTACATAATCTAAACTTTAATAAAAATATCTGGTCAATGCAATGCTGGTGCAGTTCATATATTATACAGGGATTACAGTTTTTTTTATTTTAAAAATATATTTATTAAAATAGACAGCACTATTTTATTAATACCAGTACTCAATGTGTGAGATATATTTAAATCATTTCACCCCAAGCAAGGCAATAAAGCCATTAAAACACAATGAGTTGCTAAATGTGAAAAAAATGAAGCAAAAAAAAAAAAAAAAAAAAAATAAAACATTATTAAAGAACAATAAAAGAACAGGAATCTTGCATTTCCATTTTTAAAGATCAAAACAAGGAACCAAGAGAGAGTTTCACAAGCAAGAAGTGCAAGTGAAGAAACTGTTAGCATAGAACTTACATCTAGCCATTTCAACTCTCAAATGAGGAGAACTTGCCACCAATCTAGTACTGCACTTAAATTCATAAAGTTTAGGTACCAAAGAGGAAAGTTCATCAGAACAATTACCATGGAAGTATTGATAGAAAAAGGCACAGGGAATCTACATTATGGTGGCAGGAAGGTGGCTGAAGCTGAGATTTGAGGTCAGAACCAATAACATTGCAGATTCTTTGGATTTTATCAAGTATCTCTAAATATATAGCAGAAGCATCCAACCAGGAGTGGCAGCAATACTCAATGCAGACATGAATGGTAGACTTATAAATTTAAGAAAATAAAATATTCATCTCAAATTAAATTTAAAAAAAAAAAAAATTAAGTTTAGAAATAATTACAACCAGTTGTGCATGTTATATTTTAGATAATTTTGTTTGTGGATATTTAAGAAAACAAAATATTCATCTCAAATTACAAAAAATTAATTTATAATGAAAAAATGATTAAATATAAAAATAAAGTTTAATTTTTTTTTTTGTGGGGGTGGGTTTCATTTAAAAATCTTGAAGCTGCTCTAAGTAGATTTGCCAAGATGAAATTCAAATTAACAAATCTTATCTTCATTAATGAATGATCATAATTAAAATTGTTGATTGAAATTATTATTACATTAACAGAAAATGTCAAACTTGCAATGTAGAGACTTCTTTCTATTATGATGCCAGAAATTACTGCTTCCAAAAGAGTGGCTAACATTAAAGAATGACACTGGCATAACGGCTGGTTTCAGGGCTTAAACCTCATTAACACTAACCTGTGGCACTTCAGCAATACCTCATGATATCAACAGACACTGTCTGTGTTTTGAACCAGGAATGGTGGTGGAGAGGATGCTAGATTTATGCAGTTGCAGATTTGTCCCTTTTATCTCACTGCAGACATCAGGTGCAATGCAATCCCCATCCACTCTACCACACACATTGACATTTAGATGATTATCCACCACCCAGTAAGGATGAACTGGTCAAGTTTAAATTGGCTAGAGGCACACACATTTAGCCACTTCCCCTGACAGTTGCCTTTTGACACAACTTTGACAGATTCTGACCATACCCCTTTTCAAGCAAGAGGGAAGTACTGGGAGAAGTAGACTTGGATTTTTGTGTAAATTTATTTAATATCTCTGTATGTCTGTATATTCAAACTGAATTATTTTTACAATGTTAAGTTGAATGGGAACGAATAACATGTGAGAAAGCAAGATAAAAATCAAAAGGTAATAGAATAGACTTGATACAATTTGTTTCAATATTTGTCTGTATATGCAGAAGGCAAGCATCTGTAAACAGCAAGAGGAATTTGACCAATTCTGCTGACACATTTTGGCATGCAAACAGTAAAGAAAGAATAATCTGGGTCTGATTTGAAAAAAAAAAAAAAAAAAAAAAATCAATAAAGAAAACAAACCCTGAAGATTTAGCAACAAAGATGGTGGTTTTGTTTTTGTTCAGTGGCATATCAACCTCTACGGTTTATTTAATGCCAAAATCTAAATATTTTGTACATAATTTTATACTTTCAAGGTAAAGATATATATATATATATATATATATATAGCTTATAAACTTCAGTCTTCCATGAATCTCGTACATTCATAACTACTCTAGCGTATCAAATGTAAACAAATGCGTCATATATTAAAAAGAGGACAAACTTAAATCTTGATCTATTTAACAATTTTAAAACATAAAAACATTTTAATAAATAAATTCTTTTTTACTTTGTCCATTTATTTAATATATGACGCTGTTTGTTTACATTTGATACGCCAGAGCAGTTATGAATGTACGAGATTCATGGAAGACTGAAGTTTATAAGCAGTAAATTCGACCTTGTATACCGAACGCTCCTTTGTGACCAAGAGGTTAGGCACGTCAGCGTAAATGACGGTTCCATATATATATATATATATATATATATTTTTTGTATAAAATGTATTGTTGGTAATTTTACTATAAAAATGTGTTTTTATATTTTTTTAGTGTTGCATTGATTGTCATTTTGCAATAAAAATGAATTGTTGCTTATTTTATTATAAAAATGTACTGTTGGTTTTTGTTTGTGAGTTCACTATTTGCCCATAGCCGAGACCCTAACAAGTGCAACCACTCAAGGTCAAGGTGGACCTGGGAACAACAGCAATTAAGATATCAACTGATGATGCTTACTAGTTATCACTGAGACGAGCAACACTGCAGTCATTCTCATAACCACCAAACTCATTCTGCATCCCAGTATTGACAACAGCACCGTTTTCCAGATCCACATCATTAGAGCATAAATATTGCAAAAAATCCACTGCTTCATTATGGGCTGACTGAAAGACAAACAGACAGACAAAAATATGATCAGGTTCATAAATAGTTACTAAAAACACTCCACCGACTAAACAACAATAATAATATATGGTATGTAAAATATATAAAGCTTTATTGTATCTGCATATATAAATATATCAGGGACAACTGCATTTGAACAGAGCAGATCCAGGCTAACTTATGAAGTGTATATCACTTCTGCCTCAAAAAAATGGGACTGATTACCAGATTTCACATCAGGAAAGTTATAGATAAGTGGACATATAAAAGCAATCTTCAGGTCATCAAATGGCCTGAAAATTATGTTCAAACATGAAAGACTGTTAACACTTAGTCTTGACATCACTGTCTACTTTTATATTTACACATAATCTATCCCTGATATTGAGCACTTTTACCCATAAATATCACATACTATATATATCTTCAAGTATAGGATTGGTGTATATGGAATAAATTCCAATAACCAACAAATACTATTCTTAAAAGAGTGCTCAATACAGAGTAGAGCAAATATAATTATTTATTTGAAAATTATAACACAAATATGTTATAAAATCACTACAAAAATAGCCATTTTGATTCAACACTTCTGGTGTCTTATCAAGTGATGGTGTTGAATGTAGAATAAAGGATTTTAAAAGGTTCAAATCAATCAAACATCCCTCGCTAGAGGAAACGCTGTCACATAAGCTGGAATGAGCAATCAAAATACAAGTATATGAGAATTCAAAAAACTTGACAACGAAATTTGGGTATAATAGTTATTTAAAGCTTTAATGTTAGGTTTAGACTAAAATAGAATTCGTTCTAACTAATTAATATTAAATTATACTATAAAATTCAAAATTACCAATTTGAAATTTAATCTATATTAAGTTTAAAAAACTATAAAATTATTTAAAGAAGAAATTGAGATAAAAATACATGTTTTGTTATTTATTTTGTTTTTATTGAAAGGCCCAAAATTAAGCTGAAATAAATGTTAAAATCTAATGTTGCTCTGAACTCTGTTACAACTTAGATACATCCGAAGTGAAGATATGAGCAAGGGGGGTGAAATCTTGCAAAAGACAATACATACACAATCAGATTATAATACACAAACACGTAGACATATTTATATATATATATATATATATATATATATATATATATAAACAAAAAAAAAAGTGACAAGACAGGAAATATGTGCACAACCCTTTAAAAAAAACAAAAAACAAAAAAAAAAAAAAAAAAAAAAAAAAACAACATATACATATAATGAAATAGAAAAACAAATATTCATCAATGAACAACATAAGGAAAAAGGATACAAAAATATAGAAATGGATAGAAAAATAAATATATACACATAAAATTAACACTATCTAATATATATATATAAAAAAAAAAAAAAACTCCTAAACACAGAAATATATATAAATATTTGTTTTCTATTCTGTCCATGTTAAACTTTATCTATTCAACCATTTTTATCTATATATCTTTGCCCATAGTTATATTTTAATACTATGTTAGAATTTGTTTACTAACACTGTCAAATTTGAATATTTCTTGGTGGTTATATGTGTGTGTCTTTATCAATGTATGTGCATATAATCGCTTATATGTGCCTTTCACTATATGTATATGATGTCTTTTTTTGTTTTTAAGGGTCGTGGACATGTTTCCTGTCGTGTCGCTTTTTTGCATGTTTATATATCTAAATATAAAAAAAATATATATATATATATATATATATATATATATATATACACACACACACATTTTTTTTTTTTCCTCGCTAATAACACAACTGAGATTTATACATGAAAATTACACAACGATCAGTTTTCAGTCAGCACTGTTTTATTAGCACCAGCACTTATATATATATATATATATATATATATTGTGTACGATACACCTAATTTACATAAGTGGAGTACCGACCATATAAATATGGGTTGGTACCGGAAGACGGATAGAAGAAGACATCGAATCGAGAGACTCTGCCCGACTGCGATTTAGTCAACCCATTATGCAGGAACAGTCTTCCCAAGAATATACCAAAACTAACTGTAAATATTGTGTACCCTTTCCTTGTTTCAATACATTTTGTTAACGTACATTTTGTGTTGTATTATTATTATTCCATGCTTATCCAAGTTTCAACAATGGCGACGAGGTATAAAGAACTTTACGTTACGGAAAAAAAGAATTAATAATTGATAGCCTTCAACAATTGGGACAAGTGGAAGAACCCAGGCTGAAGAAAAAAAAAAAATCATTAATTAAAAGTCGAACATCTAATGGAACGGAAAAGTATTCTGAAGTTTGGACAGTTAAAACTAGTTAAAGGACGACTAAGCTTAAAGGAACGTTCACTCAGAAAAATCTGGAAGGTGGCGTAAACAAATAACGGCAAAAAAAAAAAAAAAAAAAAAAATGCCGAAAAAAAAAAAAAAAAAAAAAAAAAGCTGGCCGACTAAAAAAAACATGCATGGAATTAAAAGGAGCACAAATACAATGTGTCGACTTTGAAAGGTAAGTTTAACTTGTAAAAAAAAAAAAAAATGTTTATTTTTTTTTGTTTTGTTGCTCAACAATATTTTATAAAGCAAGACATAAAATTAAAAAAGGCGTAAGCTGTTTCGATTTTTTTTTGTCTGCTTATAGTATATTCGTGGATACACAATTTAAAAGTATATTCTTTTGTTGCATGAACACTATCAGCTAAAGATGGAGGAATTATCCAAAGTCATAGCTGAATTGTTTAAAGCCCAGCAGTTGAGTCAAGCTGAGTTAGTCAAATCCCAGCAGTTGAGTCTGCAACAACAAAAGTGAACAGTTTGCCTTATTAAGAGAACAGCAATTAGCACAGCAGAATTATAAAGAAAAGGCAAGAGGAGTTGAGTCAGCAACGTCAAAGGAACAGGAAGAAATGTATGTCAAGGTTTTGGAAATTCAAAAGTTAACATTGGAGAAATTAAACAACATTCAGGCAAATGAAAGTAACTCTTCATAGTCTAATAACATCATATTTAATTCGTTGAAACTTTCAACTATGTGCCAGACGAAGGAAAAAAACGTTTGAAGCGTGCTTTAAAACGATATGAAGATATTTTCCACACAGACTGTGAAAACTGGTCGAATTCAAGAAAAGTCAGTCTATTACTAAGAAAGCTAGGTACAGCGGAACATAGCAAATTTGTAGATTTTATTCTACCGAGAAGAACAAATGAATTGGAATTCTCGAAACAGTGAAATTGCTAAAGGAGTTGTTTGGAGCAAATATGTCGCTTTGGCATAAGCGATGGTTATGCATGAATGTAGCTAAATCCGACAATCAGGATTACTTAACTTATGCATCTATAGTGAATAGACATTGTGACAATTTCAGATTGGCAGAGATTACGGTTGAAGAATTCAAGTGTTTAATTTTTGCTCAAGGACTGGTATCCAGTAAGAGTGCCGAAATAAGACGTAGAGTTTTGTCTAAACTCGAATCTGAACAAAACCTTACCCTGCAAAAAGTTAGCAGAGGAGTGTCAGCGGGCCATAAGTTTAAAGAAAGAGTCTCAAAAAATTGAAGAAGCTGGTATTGCTTATATTAAAAAAGTGAAGAAACAGTCAAATTACCCATCAGAAAAAAAATGGATTAAAAATTTGGCGTATTTTAAAAATAGAAAAGAAAAATTAAATGAAAAGAATGAGGAGGGAAAAAAAATGGTTCCGCCATTTAATTGTAGACGGTGCAATGGAAGACACTGGGAGTTAAATTGCCCATATAGAAATAAAAAATGTTTTGTGTGCCACAAGAATGGTCACAAAGGGTCGTGTTTGTAAAAACGAAAAAAAGTCAATAGCCGAATTAGACAAACAAATTCAAATATCAAATCAGATAGAGATTTGAGGAAGTATGTGACGACTGAAATATTCAAAAAGATATCAAATTTCAACTCGATTCGGGTTCAGATTTAACAATAATGAACTATAAAACATGGAAAATTTTAAAAAGGCCTACAATAATGAAGTCAACGAAACGCGCTCGAACAGTGACTGGAAAGGAAATTAAATTCGAAGGCAGGTTGTACTTCCCATGAAATTGAACGGGATAGTTAAAAAATAAAAGTTTTCATTCTGAAAAATGGAGAAAACTTGATGGGTACAGATTTTATTGAAACATTCAAATTGTGGGATAAACCGTTAAACTCTTTTCTGCAGAAAAGTAGAAAGTAATACGCAAACAAGACAGGACATTAATGAGGAATTAAAGAAAAAAAGTTTCCGGAAACTTTCACACCTGGTCTTGGAAGAGGTAACAAGTTTGAAGCCAAATTGAATTAAAGGAAAATACTATGCCAATTTTTAAAAAGAAACGTAATGTGCCTTTCGCAAGTGTAGAGAAAATTAACGAAGAACTTGATAGGTTGGAAAAAATGGAATTATTTCGAAAGTAGAATCTAATTCATGGGCTGCGCCGATTGTGTGCATAAAAAGAAATCAAACCAAGTCAGAGTCTGCGTTGATTTTTCGACAGGGTTGAACTCGGTAATTAAGGACTACCATTACCCGCTACCGAGTCCGGAGGAGATTTTAACAAGCTAAATGGTGGAGTTATATTTTCAAAAATTGACTTATCAGATGCCTATCTCCAAATTCCCGTCAAGAGGAATGTTGAAGTTACTAGGGATAAACACGCATAGAGGGTTATTCAAGTACAACAGGCTTCCTTTTGGTATTAAAGTGGCACCTGCCATTTTTCAACAAGCTATGGACATCATGCTGAATGATTTAGACTTTGCGGCGCTTACTTAGACGACATCATAGTAAGGAGCGAATCGGTCGACCAACATCGAGAGCATCTCAATCAAGTATTTAAAAAAGATTCAGGACTTTGGATTTAAAGTCAAAGAGTCAAAGTGTGAATTTGGTTTGGAGGAAATTAAGTATTTAGGGTACATAATCAACAAAATGGAAGATGTCCAGATCCGGAAAGGTCCATTGCGATTAGAGACATGCCGACGCCCACTAATGTGGCGATGCTACAAAGTTTTCTAGGGCTTGCAAATTATTATCAAGCGCTCATTAAAAGGAATGTACAATTTAAGAGCTCCGTTGAATGAACTGCTAAAAAAAAGACAAGGCATGGGAATGGACGGTAGAATGTCAGAAAGCCTTTGATGAAATAAAAAAAATGCTTATGTCCGACCTCTTTTTAACCCATTACAATCCAAAACTGGATATTGTAGTGGCAAGTGACGCTAGTTCATACGGGATAGGAGCGTGTATTCAACACATAATGCCAGATGGTTCTAGAAAACCAATTGCACACGCTCGAGAACTTTGCTCCCAGGAGAAAGAAGTTATTCTCAGATAGAAAAAAGAGGCACTGAGTATCATTTTGCCATACAAAATTTCACAGGTACATCCACGGCAGACATTTTATCCTTGAAAACGGATCATAAACCACTGATCACTATTTTTGGTTCAAAGAAAGGGTTACCCGTTTATACAGCAAATCGTCTGTTAAGATGGGGAACCATTCTTCTCAATTATGATTTTCACATAAAGCACCTATCATCCAAAAAGATAATTCATGCGGATAGTCTATCAAGACTAGTACCGAGTCAAGAAGAAAGATTCAAGAATCAATTATTGCAAATATCAGAGCAGATTATGAGGTGAAAATCATGGTAAACAACATTGTAAGAGAGCTACGGTTACACTAAATGAAATTAAAAAAGAAGCTGAAAACGATGATTTCATTTTAGAAATTAAAAGCAAAATGGTAGCAAATGACCAAAAAGTGCAGGAGATTTTTTCAATAGGTGATGGAGTTTTATTATATGGTGAGAGAGTAGTAATACCAAAAAAGTTGCAGAAAAGAATACTTGGGATTTTCATATGGGTCACCCGGTATTAATAGAACAAAAAAGCTTAATGCGAAGTTTTGTGTATTGGAAAGGAATGGATGTGGATATCGAAAACATGGTTCATCGATGTAAGGGGGTGTGCGTTAGCAGCTAAGGCACCACCTATAGTACACAAACCATGGCCCAAGACGGATCATCCGTGGACAAGATTACACATTGATTTCGCTGGTCCAGTAGAAGATTTTTACTACTTAATAGTGGTAGATAGTTTTACAAAATGGCCGGAAGTACTACGCTGTAAAAAGCCTACGTCCAATACCACAACAACTTTTTTGCATGAACTATTTGCACGGTTCGGTGTGCCAGAGTGTATTGTGAGTGACAATGGTACACAATTCACTTCTGAAGAATTTAAGGAATTTTGTGAGTTATATCAAATTAACCACATAACGACGCCTCCGTATCATCCGAGGTCTAATGGACTTAGAAAGATTTGTCGACACTTTAAAGCGAGCTCTGAAGAAAGCCTCAGGAGTTCCAATGGAAAAGGCGCTTCAGCAATTCTTACAAGTATACAGAATCACGCCAAACCAGAGAACACACTCAAACATGGCACCAGCTGAACTAATGTTCGCTAGGAAAGTTAAGTCAGTGTTTGACAAGCTTTTTGCCAGGAAAAATAGAGTAAAAAATACCATGTATACAGCGAAAAAAAAAGATACACTCCCGGAGAGAAGGTGTTTTCAAGTGCTATAAAAAACAACGTTGAGTTCTGGGAACGAGGCATAGTGGACAAGAGAATCGGTGACCTGATTTACATAATTAAAGGGCCGAGGAATACTCATAAAAGGCACCAAAACCAACTTAAAAAAGATTACGGTATAGAGCAAGAAGAGTGTATACCGGATGAGGACGAAGATCCCATTGATATAATGTATGATATGTTTCAGGTAGAACCTCCACAGAATACACCTGAACCAAGAAGATCCGTAGGAAACGGAAGTTGATGGACCCATTGGACGTGAATCCAAAACGGAAAAATATTAAAATTAGGCAAATGGATCTACAAAGAAATAGCCATAATCATCAACCCATATAGTAAGCCAATTTGAAATCCAAAAGGGATTCCAAGGCTTGGGAGGAGGGTGTTGTGTACGATACACCTAATTTACATAAGTGGAGTACCGACCATATAAATATGGGTTGGTACCGGAAGACGGATAGAAGAAGACATCGAATCGAGAGACTCTGCCCGACTGCGATTTAGTCAACCCATTATGCAGGAACAGTCTTCCCAAGAATATACCAAAACTAACTGTAAATATTGTGTACCCTTTCCTTGTTTCAATACATTTTGTTAACGTATTTTGTGTTGTATTATTATTATTCCATGCTTATCCAAGTTTCAATAATATATATATATATATATATATATATATATATATATATATATATATATATATATATATATTTCTGTAGTTTACTGCTACCAGCAAGCAGAAATATTTCTCCTCCCGATGATGGCTATTTTTGGCCGTTTTGGTCAAAACTAGTCAAAGAATCTGAATGAAATAATAAAAAAAACGAAAGAATATTGATCTACAACCCAGTGTGTCTAAAGATTTTAATTTTTTAATATTTTTTTATTGGTCAATATATATATATATATATATATATATATATATATATATATATATATGATATGTGGGGGGGGGAGATAACATTGTTATATATGAAGAATAATTTTAGGAAAATCTATGACAAATAGGAAAATTGTGTGACATGTTTCATCCATTAAGACTTCATGTTAATATTGATGTGATTACATATGTGCATGAAGGAGAAGACATACTGAAATTTTAAATCTAAATTTTAAAATATTTTTTTTCATCAAAAATTTATGTTCATTTTGTTCCCTGACTGGACAGGATTGTCAGCTTTGTATGAGCTCTTGCATGTAGTCACTGGATGGCCAGTAGCATTTTTGTGATGATATCCACACTTATTCCAACATCTTGGGTTTGGCTCAGGATGCATAAGTGTAGACGGTGAGGGCACATAATTCACTTACAAACTAAAATCAGTCTGGGGAAAAAAATACTCAAATGGAATTGCCAAATACTTCTTTACCAACACATTTCATTCTCTGGTGGATTTTATCAAGGCAAATCAGTTACCTTTATAAAATTCATCAGTGGATGAAAAGTTTTCATTTTACCTCTATTACTGTGTATGCATGTGTGTGTGTTATATGCATACATATATATATATACACACACACACACATATATATATATATATATATACACATATATATATATATATATATATATATCTGTGCAGGATGTGTGTGTGTGTGTGTAACGAATGCACGGCCGCAATTTGACAGATTTGCACCAAAATTTACATGCACATGCTCCAAGTTAGAGGGAAGGCCAAGACCATCTTTGCATTTCCCAACTCTCATTGATAGTGGAAATAATTGATTTTTTCATGCTTCTATGGCAGTTTTCATGTAGTTTGCGGCCATTTTCTACTGGCCAGAGTGAGAGCCAATAGCTGGCTGCCACAAATGTTAACTAGCATGCAAAAAAAAAAAAAATCAATAGCTGCATTCGTCACAAGTGGTAAAAATTTAAATCTGCATGGCACTTTACTCCAATTGGCTCATTCGCTTGCTTAAACTTAATGTTGATTCTGATTCTGCAGAACTGGGTTGTGTGTGAAAAAGTATTTGTTGTTAACATTCTTTTTTCAGTTACGTGTCCTTTTTTAAAGCTGATCGTTTTGTGTTCATTTTGTTTAGTTCTTTTTTTGTAATAGATTAATGTTTAGTATAGAGCTTAGAAAAAATTCACAGTGTGAGATAGGCAAGAAGTAAGGCATGTAGCAACATCAGCATGGCAAAGTGCACTCCTTTAAAGGCAAGGAAGGGCAAAAATATTTTAAATCAAGTGATAGCGATTGCTGTACGAGTCGTACAATTTTTGTATCAAGCACGGGCAATGCTGCTAGTATATATAAACACATACACACTTTTTTGTTGCTTCTATCTACTTGTATTATGATCTAATAAATATTTAGTTTATTGAACTCACTGATGCAAGGGAAAAAAGTGCAAATTATTTATAGGCTGTAACACTTTTGGTTGAACTTATTTTAAAGCAATGAGTCAGATTTTTTGGTTGTTTCTCTTTGTGAGTCAGAAGCTTATTTGATTATCTTCAGGAAATTGTAACCTAATCAAATGTCAGTAAAATTGCTTTCTACTCATTTTCTTTTTAATATGAAATTGTTAACATCACTCCCTTTCTGTCTGTTGAAATCTCTGCTGGAAACCAAATTCCTACTGTACAAATATTCACAACAAAAGAGAAACAAAAGCTGTGTACGAACCTTAACTTCAATCTTGGAGAACGAAGACATGTCAATAATACACACTCTTTCTTTACAAGCCCAGTATTCATCCTTGACAATGTTAAACCAATCTGGTTTGCCAAAAGTACCCTGTGACACTCCTTGATCGACAAAATCATCTGTTAAATAAGAATAATAGTAAATTTTCAACAGTGAATACATACTCTGGTCAATGTTAGTTTGTGGGCCTTCATTGCATATACATTTCATTTTCATAAAGAGAGAAAAGAAATTTCAAAAAATGATTCACAAATCTAAATATAAATTTCTGAGTAAATTTGAAGTGGTTTCCAAAAGACATCCTGTAAGACATCACTCAAATTGACAGAATCACCGTTTCTAAAGAAAAGCAACAAA